AATCAATACTGATTATTAGACTTTTTCTCCTGCGAAATACCATATTTAACTTTTCTTATAAACTTAAACTTACTTTTATCTTTTAAAAGATTCACCTCAGGCCTAGGAATTACTGATTTACAGAAATGGTAACCTCATATCAGAAAAAATATTTTCTGAACTGTTATAATGAAAACTTGTAGATATTTAAGATTAATTCTCTACCTAACTAGTTTGTGTTGTTGATTCAGTAGTATTTTGAGCATAAATTTGAATTCACATTTCCTTTCCTTTTTTCTCAACTAGATACTGGTCAGTTGTAAAATTGTCAGTATCTATTTGAAATTCTCTTTGAAAAATGTTTTGAATAATTACTTTTTGTTATTCACCTTATGATCTAACTATATTTTAACCTTTTTCTTCAATAACGAGATAACTCAAAATTCTATTTTATTCATCCAAAATAAGCTTGTGAATCGACCGATCATATACTTATCAATCTACCCATGCTGCTACAGTCAGTGTACAGCTTTCACAGAATAGATATTTTTCAATAAATTATGTTCATGATGTTGTTTTAGAAACTTACAAACTCAATGATAGTTTTGAGTGTGTAAAATCAATAATTTTATCTTGTTTGTGAGTTAAGAATAGTTCAGTCTACTGTTCAAAAATCAACTTTATTCTGTTATTGATTTGGTTGTACATAAGTGTTGTCTCAATATACTAGTAGCTTTAAAAATATTTCGACTCATAAGCGTATCTAAAAATATAATTTACAAAATAGATTGTTTAGCTGCTTTTATATCATTCATTTATCAGCAACGTCAGTCCAAGCACATATATGTATCGATTGCTTCTAAAGAGCTAAGGACAAATCGGACTGTCAGACTAATCAACTTGTAAAGATATCCATTAATAATGTAGGCTGTAAATAATGTAACTTTTTAAACAGTATCTGTTGTGAGTTTCGTTAAATAGAGTACCCAGTTGAAACATTAATCTTAGGGAATGCTGTTGTTTTCAGGAACAAGTTATATTATAGGGTTTACCTAAATGTTGGTAGGTATATTAAGGTCAATGGTAATATTGACTTTTGTCACAGTCTTTAGACTGAGTTTCTGTAAAAGACTATGAGTAAAACCAGGTTCTTGCATTATGAAAGTTTTATCCTTTAAAGACTTAAGGGACCAAATCGAAATTCAGAATTTCTAAATGGAACGTATTACATAAATTATTTAGACGAAGTTGCAAAAAGTTCAGTTTTTGCTATATTTATGAGGACAGCAGAATAGCTGTTAGTGAAGCAGAGGGAGCAAAAGAAATTGCTTAACGGGAAGTACGGTAAGCAATAGTACTTTAACTCGGCGGAAAAAAGATCACACTCAATGGAACTAAAAAACCCTTCAATAGAGAAGCTGTTGTCATAGTCCCGGCGCTCAAACAATGCAAAGTAGCAATAGGGACACGAGTACATTAGGAAATTCAAGGATCTAACCGAACATTAAAACATATGCAAATCAACGGAAACAATTTTCATCGAAGTTTGCACAGCTAAACCTCAAAGAAATTTTCAAAAAATCTCTTCAAAACATGATAAATATAGAAGACTAAGAGTGGACCAATTCTCATTCGATTCCATGGTAGGCCAGAACTATATTGATCCAACTTCGCACTAACCCCATCATACTAATTATCGAAAGGGATTTCCACAAAATCGAGTTATTTGGTCCAATTGGCCGGTCACCCTCCTTAAACTCCGACAGGACCAAAACAGTAAAGACAGACTAACGGCACTCTTTAACGCTAAATCCGTGTTCACCTCGCTTAAACCAAAGTTAGTATGGCACACTTTGTCTCTGCTCTTCACTGGTAACACAAATCTTCGAAAAAATCTAAAGTTTCAGAGTCACAATTTATTACAACTAATCGATACATTCCTAACAACATATTTTCAGTTCAATAACATGGTTTCACCAGTAAGATCACCAATAGCCTGGCTGGTCGAAGTAAGAATGATGCACAGAATGAAAGGTTCATTTTTAACAGTAATCAAGCTAGAAATATAAATTTCTCATGTGGACGACCCACTCGTCATTAGTGAAAAGTAACTAGTAATCGCTTACAGTTTGGTCGATTACACAAAATGGAAAAAAGGGGTCTAGCAATAAACTACCGTTCTTGAACGTGTTAAGTAAGAACCCAGCACAGATAAACTGGGTACTAAAAAGTGTGTCGGAAACTAACTTACACAGATTAGATTCCCAACTACTTTAGCAACAATGCAGAAAATCAGGCGCTCACATACATCATTGTAAACAATAATGACATTGCAGCACACATACGATGGAAAGTAATAGAGAAAAATATTTAACATCTTTTTTCAGATGAACAGATATGCATGAAACTACCAAAAGATGTGTATCGGACTCATGAACAGGGGCCAAAGCAACTGTGGAAACCAACTGTTGGATCATTCTACTAAACATAAACGATATCTAAGAAAATAATAAATTTATTGGAACTATTTGGAACAAGCATATCACGAAGACTGTAGTAATCATTACAGATAATATTATGCAAACCAGAGGATAAAATGATAATAAAATAAAAGGTAAACCCCATTTACATGTTAAACTGATTTAACTGCGAGAATCAATAGGAGATGGCAGTCAAAATAAGTATGCGAACAATGACAGGACAGAGATCAGTAACAACTAATCAAGCCCATGTTCGACAGAACGAGCTGTCAATTGTATGATGAAAAATTCTAATAGCTCACTTCTATATGAATTTTGTGTTGTTGTTCAGGGGATAATGAAAGCGAAATAGTTGATTTATCCAACTCAAAAAAACCTCACCAAAAGCAATTAGTTTTGATACATATTTGGATTTTCGGCTTAAAGAGCTATAAATACTGCTCCTATGTTAAAACTATTCATATTGGTTATTGAGTTCAAAATAATTGAAAGGAAAATAATGCAAGCTATTTTAACATACGAAAGTATAAAGTGGATTGAATGAAATATGAGTTCAAAGGTAGTAAGGAGGAATGTATATGGTGACGATAATCAACAAATAAATGATACGATCATACCCACCACTGAAGATGCCCGACCGTAGCTGCTACCTTGACGTGGTGGTCGGGTTTGCCTATCGTGATGACCCAGCCGAGCTATATTGGTTGGAACGTATGTCCCTGTAAGTCCTACCATGTCACGCAGGTCGATTGGAGAACGATGAGACTAAAAGCAACTACTCAAGGTCTGAGGGTAAAGTCATACTGTTGACTGTAGAGGGGGTTGTGAAACATGGCCAGTCAGAGTAGAAGATATTCGTAGGTTTCTTGTTTTTGATCATAGGTGTCTGAAGCATTGCTCGTGTATCATGGGACAACCGAGTAAGCAATGCTGTTATTGGGAAACGAGTGCTAGTTAAGGATGACAGGTCAATAGATTAAGTATTGGAGCTACATCAGTTGAGGTGGTTGGTACATGTGTTACGAATGCCCAACCACCGACTATCTCGACGAGGGATGTTTTATGATGCATTAGTAGGTTGGAAGAAAGCTAGGGGCGCCCAAACCAAAACATGGCAGATATCTATGAAATAACTTACAGGTGGACTCAGTCATGATGGTAGATGTAGGTTACCTGGTTGGGGTCCGTGAAACGAAAGTAACCGATGGTTATAGACCTAGAACGAAATGGCTCAAAATCGTTTGCAATGGCGTGTGCATCTACTGTTTGCGTTCTTTCAAATTCTAATCTTCTGAATTCCTAATCACTTTTACCTTACTCTTTCTAAATTCATTTCATTGAATAATGCTTCTCAGATAATATTTTGCAACCACAGTCATCTCTATTACCACTAATACCTGTACCAGCTCTAGTACTGTGGGATTTCAATTGACGAAGTGATCTCTTTGTGGTAATGTTGTACTGTAACTTGAACTGATGTACATACGTACGAAGTTATACATTGTAACTGATTAAGCACTGAAGATGTTATTTTTTCTGTCTTTTTGAACAAAATAGCGAACTAGTGAGTAAAGAATACGAGATGTCAACACAAAACATAGTTTCAGTCTATAGAATCATTGATTTCTAGTCTAACCTATGTTGGAATATCCATACTTCTTAATCGGTGTCTATGATATACATTTGGAAAGTTTAGGTAAGATGGTTTGAAACTAATTCCAATTGTATATATTTGTTTAACTATTGTCTTTTGTGAAACTATAACTTTTTAATTTCTAAACATATTTTATCCTTTGTGAATTTGGATGGTGTCATTCTTCTCGTATGTATAATTAGGGTCCAATATAATCTATCAGCTTTATTCTATTAACATCAAATAGAGCTAGTGACTCCTTACTAATGACCATTCATTATCTCTATATGATATATTTTATTCAAGATACTCTAACTTCACTACTAACATTATGATTTTAAATCATTGAATTAAAACCCAGTGTATCATATTTTGTTGACCGTTGATTGTTTCGTATGATAGTGTAATCATCGTTCAATATCATTAGTTACAATTATCTTATTTCCGAATTTTTTTAAAAAAAAACCATTACAGAAACTTTGATTTCACAAATTATGTATATGTGAATTCATAGCAAAAAAAAAGTAGTTAAACAAATTAGTAAACATTCATTTTGTAACATGATATTTCCTTGGAAAACAAACAAACTAACGAACAAAGAATACAATTCAATAAACAAACAATCATGTTAACAACAAGAGCGTATAGTCATATTATTATCATCTATTCTCTTTCGTTCATTCTTTGAACTTTTTATCGAACAAAATAAACATCAATAAAAGCAAATGAAAATACATGAAAGACTATTTGGTGAAAACATACAATAATTTCTTAGTTTTCTTTGTTATTCTGACTTGTGTTATTTTTTCTTTAGTTGAACGAAAATGAAAACTTTAAATAAGAATAAAAAATAGAAACTTTCTTACCATCTTAATTATAGTAATAAATCTTTTTTGTCAATTATGAAATCAATATGTTGCAGAAGTTGCACGCATCACATTCATCGAAGTCACTGTATTATTATGAATAATTGGATGTTTAGATTTTAACCACATTAAACTTTGAATAACCGCTTTTATATCGTTACTGGCGCATTTTTGTAAACGCCATGGATTTTGTAATTCAAACAAATGTAAACATGTCAGAGGTTGTAATAATGAACCACACCATGAGTATGTATAATCTGCACCGCTGTAACTATCACGATTCAAATAGATTTGATTTGTTCCAGTAGAATCTTTCATTGAATTTGAATGAATGTAATTTTCTGTATTATTATTTTGCAATATATCTTCAATTGGCATAATATATAAAATAACAATTGGTACTTTATGTGCTATTTCATTAGGAAAACCTTTTAATACAGTTACTAGTTCAGTATATAAATAAAAAGCTTGTTCAGTTGTTTCTCTAGCATCAAGAGCATAAATTATTCCACAAATACCTTGCAGTAAACATTTCATTTCATTACTTACCATTAATTTGTTCAAGGATGATGAATTGATACTTGAAGTATCAACAGAATTTGAATAATTAAAAAGACGACTAGCATGAATTCGCTCTAGTTGACTACTGAATTTATGACTTAAATGTCCACTTAACGAATAGAGGTAATGTAAATCGAATATGAAATCGCTCAAATGATTGATAGCTTGTGAATTGGGTGTAAATGTCTCCTTCAGAGTATACTTTTTACAATCATTTTTTGAATGTTCTAACATTTTATCACAAAGGTATACAGAAGAATCTAATGCTGCCATTTGAGCTTGATTATACAGTCGAAGTGTAAGTCCAGCACCGAAGCCCATTCGACCAGGTATCATATTTAATGGTTCAAATGATTTGGTTTTTACATCAACCAATTTACTAAATAAGCAACTTGTAGCTCTTTGGTCAAAACCAGGTCCAAACACTGCAAATCGACAACGTTGACGATTTACGCCATTCAAACGTAAATTATGATGAATTGACAATCTACGTTTAAAACTGTTCCACCAATTCCAAAATAATTCACTGAATGATAAACGATTTGTTGATTGACCTACAGATGCGGCTGAAGCAGGACTAACTTCATTAACATCATTAATCAAAAGTTGAACTTTGGATACTTCTTTCTGGTCAGAAAGTAAGTGCTGAGGAACATATTTCTTAAGGAAATGATATATTTTGTAAGGGTGAACTGTTTGTAGCTTTTGTAGGTTCGGAGCATATTTGGGCTTAAAATCACATATCAGAGTAGACCACTGAGTTTTTAAAATTGTTACCAACTTTCTTTGCCATAAACAACTGTCAAGTGCTGTTTGTCTCCAAGTGGAGCATACATAGATGCAATTAATTAAATCAGCAGTATCAAGATGATTGAAAACATGCAGTAAAATTTCTGGAGGTAAATTGTTGGCTGTAATATAACCAGTTGATGGCTCTACCATTCCACGTTGAGATGCTCGCCAACTTCCATGAAGCTACTGTACCTGCTATGTCGACATTTTAAATAGCCTGAAAATGATCTAAAACTGTCTTAAGGCTCAAGATTTATCAATCATTATGGGCGAGGCCAGTAATCTGACCTTACTGCCTCAGGTAACCAATAGAAAATCACTTAAGAGTCAAATAATATAGCAAGATTTTAACAAGGTCACATAACCTTATTGTGATTGGGTGATTGCAATCAATAAAACTAGATTTTAATTGTAGACGCAAAAATGAAGTTTAGTGACCAATTTTCTCAAAAACCAGTATAATGTGATTCAGATATGTTTCAAGCTGTCTTCCAGATATGTTGTTTAAATATTTTGGTCACAAGACTAGCTTACTTTTAATAATATAGCGTACTTTTGTAAGCATGTCTCATTAAGTTAATATTTGTTCTTGATGAAGTAAGTACAACAAGAGATACTAACTTTAACTATGTTTATGGTAAGCGTTTAAGACCATCTAAATGACGTCATATGATACAAATATCCAAAATCTACATTCATCTTTGAGTTAGCCAGAATGTAGTCTCGGAGTTGGCTTTTCTCTGATCACCTTCAGTTTGTTGCTAAGGTAACTACTATAAAGTCCAAAACGAACTACAATAATGTGTAAATATTTTTGCACTAATCTATGCTTCAGAGAAAAACAAAGCGATTACAGTGGAGTTCATGTACAAATTACATTGTGCAACGGATAAAATGCCATATGGACTACTGGTGATGAAGTATTGAAGAGAGATCTCAATATCAGCGAACGATTGACTACATACAAGTCATTTGGATATACAATTAAGGCTCCTCACAACACTATATATTTTGTGTTTAAAATCATTTTCCGTAGCTTAATTAATGCTAATGACAAGAATGATTAATCTTCTACAATTTCCAGTTTAGTCATCTTTTCGCTTTACATTATTCATTACAGTATATTTTTGATTCAGATATAATAGATGGTTCAGAGAATGGAATAAAAATACCCACTTCAATCACCTTTATTTTAGAGCTAAAATATTAAAATATTTTTACAATAAATCGACTTTCTACGACATGAAACCTGAACAGATATAGGTGATAGTCATAACACTATTGATATTGTTGTTAACAGACTTGAAAAACGACAATGAAGTTCTCTAATTGAAGATACTGAATTCAAAAATATTTCACACAGTTTGCCGATCAAGTAATGACTTAGGATCTTATTTATCATTACATACTTTGGTTTTTATTTTTAATTCGTGATGTATGATTCTGAGAAGCATTTATGATTAGCAGTTAGTTTCACTAAAATGAGACCCTATATATATTAATGATCTTGTAGTCAATAAGAACCATACTTATTTTCGACTGATATAATACCAGTAGAATATATAAATAATTTAAGTTTCTATCCAGAAAGATGTGGAGAAAAATATGAAAGCTATTGAATGGTATGGATGAAATTATGGAAATTTTCTACAAATCATTAATCTGGAGCACTCTTACAGATATACGGTTTATCAACTAATCAGTATTCATTACACAAAGACATCAAAATTATGAATCATTCTAGATTTTTTCTGAGAGAATATGGGAGACCTTCGAAGTACAAACTTACGGTTACCAAGTAACGAACTAAATAATCTACCTTCGAACCAACCAAATTGTCTCAGATTTAAAATCATAACTTTTTGTAGACAAGTGGACAATTGAGAATACATTGAATTCAAACGTTAATTAATTACAGAAATTTTTGAATCTAGTTTACTGATACGTGATAAAACTAACTCTGTACAAAGTCAAGCAAAGATATTCGCTACCTCGTGCAAAACAAAAAATAATTCAGTGAATTTCGGAAAGTGGTTCACGATAAAATAAAATATTTGTTTGATGTAGGAAGTATGATGACTATACGAAATTCATCATAACCATGTTATATATATTGAAACATTAATGTTTGAACCATCTATCCATTCCTTAACTGGTTAAAAGATATTTACATGTCAAACTAAGAGTAAACTAGATAAATTAGCAAATCGATATCAACAGGGTTAAGTATTCGTATGGTTAGGGCTTCAACAAACCTAAGTATTCGCTCTAGACAACTTCGTTATAAAATCCTAAAAAAATTGAATGAAGATCAATATTTCGACTTAATTTAGTCAGGCACTTGTTAGTGGTGGAAGATGGGTGATTATTAACATTTTATTTTATTGGGTCACAGAACTTTATTTACTTTGACAGATATTTTGGTTTATGTATAGTTATTCTCATTTACAAGTCAGGAATAATTCTTGCAGTTTTCGTGTCCACACCTACATGTAAATTAAGAGATATAATAGGCTGTATTGTAATCATGTACATGTTATTTAGGTCTTCGGTGTGACATGAACAAGGTTTTTCAATACCGATAACTTTTGCTATATAATGCACTTTGTTGATGACATATTCGAAACTGAGAGAGCTCATAAAAATGCTTAAAATTCATCAAACTACTGGTTAATATTCAGTAGCACAGCAAACACACAAAAAGACTAGAAACGAGGGAATCAAACAATCAAAGCTTATTATTCAATTTCTTTTGTTCTAGATATATTATAAGAAAGTGATAATAAAGCTACACAAATAGATATCTTTAATTTATTAGGTGATCATTAAGTTTTCTCTTAGGAATGGAAAGATTAGAAAGAAGGTGAAATAGGTATTCAAAATGAATTTATCCAAAGGGAATTAGTGTTGTTTGTTTGTATCACAACCTTATATTAGTGGGAAGGCGATTCCCATTGTTTTGACAAGCGAGAAGTTAGAAATATTCTCACTGAGGACAATGATTAGTAATCGATTCAGATTAGTAAATGAGTGGAATAGGATAGCTTGTATCACCTAACTTCGACTCATTAATGAAAAAGGTGGTTTTAAGTGATAGTGTGGAAACCTCCAAATACCATTCACATTCCGTTTAGGGCCAAAGGCTTGCATTTATAAAGAGTCCTTGCGAACAAAGAAGGCTCAGAAGTTAAGCAGCTAGTAGAACGCAAGATTACGGAAACTATTTGGCCTTCATAGGTACTATTTAGCTGGGAGGTGTGATTTCTGAAAACATCTCGCAGAAAAGCTTATCAAGCATCTAGAATACTGGGGTTTTCCATCCATTCCAAAAGTTCATTGGAGGTTGATGAGTAAACTATTTTCCGGGACCCAAGACTTTTCCAAGTTGTTTTTAACTTCAAGGGATACTTCACCCTTACTACTTTTAATATCAAAACTCTGTAGTTTGGCACCGTTACATAGTGGTAATTTCCAACAGGAATTTAAACGTGTTGTTTTCCAGAAGTTCTTTGTGGATGCGAATTACATTTGATAAAAAATATTTTATATGAAGTGATTTTATTTGTAAAGATTTGAATACTGTTAGTCTGGAGAGTATGTAATATACCTTATGATACTTAACTCTCTATTGACCATCCTTTGGATTAGGAATAATCGTACAGAAGATGCGTAACTACTAAACCATATGATTTAACCATAGTGCTCATGGACTGACGCTTCATTGATTTTTTGTGGGTAAGTAACATCCAAATAATTTGTCTTAATAATTCATACTACTCGTTAGTAGTTAAAAACAGATTATAAAGAAACTTGTAGATATTTTCGATAATCAACTTATCGAAAATTCAGCACAGCATTCTGGGAAATAGAATGAATCTGAAAACAGAATGCTGATAATCACTTTTAAGGCTCAATACAAATGAAATCTAGAAGACTGTTGACTACTGATGACTATATCTAGAAGCTCAAATTTGATGAATTACTATTTGTTTCATGTTTTTTACACAGTTTATTTTTTATAGATGTAACACGATGACGCCATTATTGAACTTCATTTCTAGATATATAGTCTTCACAATTAACCTTTAGGAATGGTGAACAGTTTCTCCACATATATGCAACAACTAAGATGTTGTTTCTAGTGTAGTTTCAGTTATTCATGTCTGTATCCAATTTGAAACCTCTTAGATTTCCGATATTGATTGATGATTAACAACTCTATGTAGTGGTTTAGCTGTTCCTTCCTTTACAGTTTACATCTTTTTGAAATTTATGATCATAAATTCATCTACGTATTTCTGTTCTAGTAGACTAATAGGGTAGTATTTATATAGAGTATGTTGATACTGGAAAAATTTAGGGGTTTCAGTTGAAAATGTTGATTTTATTGTATATCTTGTTATCATTATTAAACCTGTTGCTTTTATGTTTTAATAACTTATGGTGAAATGTAGGACGATAACGCGTAAGCTTCAATATTCCTTGCAAATATTTTATTCCTTAAGACTTGGTCTTCCCCACATATGATTAAATCCACCCTCATTGATATAACGTTGGCTAAAATAAAGCCTGACCATTGATTTGAATGTATATGTTACCCCTAATAGATGATGTTCTTCAAAGTTTTCGAATATTCCCAATTTAATAACCATTTCAACATATTTTTTCTGGACTACTTCTTGATTTGACAAACAGAGCAACAATTCTTTTAGGGACAAAGAATGTTCAAACATTGTGGGAGACCGGAAGGCTGTTCCAAACTGCTGCAGAGATGAAAATATACAACCTGGAGGTGCTTGAAATCCAAGAAACACATTAGACAAAGGTTGGACAACTAAGACTAGCTTCAGGAGAGCTACTGCTATACTCCAGCCATGAAGAAGACAATGCTCCACATACACAAGGAGTTGCACTGATGCTATCTAAACAAGCACAAAAGGCACTTATAGGATGGGAATCTCATGGAACCACGATTATCTAAGTGTCTTTTAAAACAAAGAAAGGAGGTATTACAGTTAACCTTATCCACTGCTATGCACCTCCCGACGACTACAATGAAGCCGTTAAAGAATAATTCTACGAAAGGATGCAGTCAATCGTTGACAGATGCTCATCAAAGGATTTGACCATCTGATGGGAGACCAAAATGC